TGATGATGATGATGATGATGAGCATGATGAGCATGATGATGATGACGATGATGGATGGATGGATAGATGGATGATAATGATTATGATGATGTTGACGATGAAGGATGGTAATGATGAAGATGCAGATGATGATGACGATGACGATGATGACTGCGATCAAAATGGCATCTTGAGCTGCTTGACATGACAACCATTGAAGCATAACGAAGATTCGTCGATGTATACATATGCGCGTTCCACAGACAATCGTCTCTGGTGGGTATATAATGGCCAATGTGATTATATGCATTGTGAAAATATTCAAACATTCGAATCGTTAAAAAGGGAAAAAAGGGAAAAGAAAAAAAGAAATAGCATGGTGTTTACGACATTGCGATAGAGGGGATGGCACATGCATGGGACATGGCGGGAGCTAGAGAGAGAGAGAGAGAGGGAGAGAGAGAGCACATTGACCGATTGTCGATTTTTTATTTTTTTGGGGGAGCATGCCTGCGTTCGTCACGGTCGCCATGCCCGCACATGTCTTCTTGAAGGTTGTGATTGGCCCCTTTCCCTCTTTCATGCCCATCTTCTCTCTTCGTTCTCGGGGGGGCACACAGAGAGAGAGAGAGAGAGAGAGAGAGAGAGAGAGAGAGAGAGAGAGAGAGAGAGAGAGAGTGAGAGAGAGAGAGAGAGAGATCCACTACTTACATGTAGAAAAGACAAAAAATATGGTGGTGCACCTTTCCATCTTGTAGCGGGAAATTCATTCTAATTTTTGACTCACGTAACAGGCGTCGATCCGCTACTTCGACATGCAGAAAAGACAAAAAATACATAAGTGTGTCTTTCCATCTTGTAGCAGAAAATTCATTCTCATTTTGCACTCACGTAACACTGTAACAGGCGTCGATCCAGTATTCCGAAATGCACAAAAGACAAAAAATTATGGCGGTGTATGGCGGGACAGGGGGTAGAGGGAGGGATTCTTTCTCATTTTGCACTCACGTAACACTAAGGCGTTGATCCACGACCTCGACATGCACAAAAGACAAAAAAATGTGGCGGTGTATGGGGGACGCGGGGGGGGGGGGGACGGAGAGAGAGAGAGAGAGGGGGGGAGAGGGAGGGGGGGGGGGGGGGGGAGAGAGAGAGAGAGAGAGAGAGAGAGAGAGAGAGAGAGAGCTGTCTCTTATACACATCTAGATGTGTATAAGAGACAGCTCCACTACTCTCGACACGCACAAAAGACAAAAAAATGTGGCGGTGTACATATAGCCATGTTCTAGCGGACGATTCATTTTCATTTTGCACATTTGCTGAGTGGTGGAGCTGTCTCTTATACACATCTAGATGTGTATAAGAGACAG